AGTGACACACAGTTGCTGCAACAACACCAGTGTGTATTGATGAACATTTTGGATGCATCTACCTGGTGCTTCAACTTGTGGGACATTAAGAGATACCTGAATGTCTGGATGTGTATAACACATATATATATGGCCTAAAACCTTGTATTTCTAGGGATTTTCCTGCTTGTTATTTTTGGTCTCCTCAATGTGCCAGCTGAGGCCTCTGTAATTTGCAGTCCACCTCAATCCAGCAGGCCAGGGTGCTGTGAAGTCAAGCCTGGGTATTCAGTTCATGTACTTCAATTCCTGCTATTGTTTTCAGCAGTTTCCACCAAGGGTGTGCTTCACTTGGAGAGCTCAGTGCTCCATTCATCACCTTTCCTTTTTTATTATATACTATTGACAATATGGACAGAGGGAGAAAAGCAAACTGTCTGAATTCCACCTAAGATACAATTTAGTCAGACTTTGGGCGTCTGAGTCTTGGAGAATGGTTCAGACTGCCTCCTCTCAAGCACCACCTAACCCCTGGTGGCACTTAAAATGAATAATTTTGGACAACAGATTTCCCCGGTGAGTAAGTTCCAGGGAAGCTCGGAAGCACCATGGCTTAAGCTGCCAGGCTTGTCACTCCCACCCAAGTTTCATTGTGACTCAAAGATGTGCGGAGAGATGCTTGACCTCTGCTTATGTCCCCAGAGGTGCCTCAGCCATTGACTATGCTTGAGTCACAGAATCACAAAGTGGTTTGGGTTGGAAGGGTTTTTAAAGCCCACCCCCTGCCATGGGCAGGGACACCTCCACCAGCCCAGGCTGCTCCAAGCCCCGTCCAACCTGGCCTTGAACACTGCCAGGGAGGGGGCACCCACAGCTTCCCTGGGCAACCTGGGCCAGGGCCTCACCACCTCGCAGTCAAGAATTTCTTCCTAATATCTAGTCTAAATCTCCCCTCTTCCAGTTTAAAACCATTCCCCCTCGTTCTATTGCTCCCTGCCCTTGTAAAAAGTCCCTCCCCAGCTTTCCTGTAGGACCCTTCAGGAACTGGAAGGCCGCAATAAGGTCCCCCTGGAGCTTTCTCTTCTCCAGGGTGAACAGCCCCAATTCTCTCAGTCAGTCTCTGTAGGGAAGGTGCTGTATAGCCCATAATAAGCTTGGGTAGCATTGAATTCACTGCAGACCACAGCAATCATGAGCACTTTCAATGTAGAACGGGGAGAGAGGATGTTTTCACCAGCCTTGAAGGTGAGCACTGTCCTCCAGGAGGGATGTCTGGTTTGAATTGTTCTACGCTAAGGAAGCTCAACAGTAACGGGAGAACTTCACTCTTGTCTCACTGTTAAGGATATTTCCTGGGAGAAGAAAATCTCAGATTCAGTCTCAAGTCTGATTTTGTATTTTGATTCAGCCACTTTTGTACAAAAAACCCCATAAGAATCCCTTAGGTCAGAGATCAGATGCCAAGGATGCCCTAATTTGCCTGTCTGTTTTTACTTGTAAGTTCTTTCTTCTTGTCTTTATAGATGAATTCGCACTCTTATTAATTGCGACTCTAAAATTAAGCTTTCTCAAGTCCTGGCATCTCTCTTACTGCTTTTGGCTTGGACACTGTGATGTAGTACCCAAAATTAATGTTTTCTGTATTTGTGCTTTACATCTGTAGACTTTGAGGTGAGCTTGGTAGAGGTTTCCTTCACCCTGATTCTCTCTCCTTTTCCTATTGCACCTTCTCTATGCTACATGGCAAGGGTAAACACTCTGTGAGGAAGCTCTTGTTGAGCTGTGAACATGGGGAACAACTTGCTTTTGTATTTTTCATTAATGCTACTGCTTTACTGTTTTCACCCTGCCTCAGTATTTTTCTCATTAGTTTTTAAATGTTGGTAGATGCGATCAGGTAAAACAGTATAATAAACATTCAAAGAGGAGGGCCACAAAGATGATCCAAGAGCTGGAGCATCTCTCCTATAAAGACAGGCTGAGAGAGCTGGGGCTGTTCAGCCTGGAGAAGAGAAAGCTCTGGGGGGACCTTATTGTCGCCTTCCACCTCCTGAAAGGTGCCTACAAGAAATCTGGGGAAGAGCTGTTCACTAGGGCATGTACAATAGGACGAGGAGTAATGGTTTTAAACTAGAAAAGGGGAGATTTAGGCTGGATATTACAAAAAAGCTCTTTCCCATGAGGGTGGTCGATCACTGGCACAGGTTGCCCAGAGAGGTGGTGCAGGCCCCATCCCTGGAGATATTCAAGGCCAGGCTTGACGGGGCTGTGAGCAACCTGATCTGGTACCAATGTCCCTGCTACTGCAGGGTTGGACTGGATCAGTTTTAAAGGTCCCTTCCAACCCAACACATTCTGTGATTCTAAAGAACTTCTAAATTTCAAATTCATTATTTTGCACAATTTTATTATAGCTTTTCTTCTGTTTTATTATGAGGTTTTCTGTTCATGTTCCTTTTCTGGCTTTTTTGCCCCCCAGTCAAATGTCATTATCTATTTATTGTTTAAAACACATACACACTTTTACGGTTCCTGAGGAGTTTTAAACTGAGCTTTACAGAGTAGATGATACCATGGCAGTAATACTTAAATTTTGCTTTAGTGTCTTACAGATCATCTGTACCTCAGTCACCTCAGTGCTGGATTCATCCTTTTTATTCTATTGCGTTCACTGGAAGCCATTCAGGGAGAAAGAGCATAAATACAATTGTGTACAGTAGCAGATAGTATGCTAGTTTCCTGAGTATTTTATCCCTTCATTGGTTTCCTTTTAGTATTCATTGTCTGGCAGGAAGGAGCTGAGTGTTAAGTGCATCTTTTAAAGCATCTTTTACCACCGAGGAACGTTCATATGGGTACACAATGAGAACTTTACTCAGAATAAAGACATTACATCTGTTAAGCTATGCCTTTGATACACAGTAGTCACATACCAAATCTGTGCTCTTTGTTGGCCAGACACTGGGACAAGTTTCCCAGAGGGCTGTGGAATAATCTCCGTTCTTGGAGACTTTCAAAACTCCGCTGGACAGGACTTATATTAACGTTACCTTAATTTTCAGGTTGGCCCTGCTTTGAGCAGGGGCTTGGATCCATTGGCCTCCAGAGGTACCTTTCCACCTCAATTATTTTGTGAATCTAACTCTCCTTGGTCCAGCTCTATTGAAACCTTACCTGTTTAGTTGACTTCATCAAAGTCACTGTAATGATCTCAGGAATTAATTTGACCTTGTCTGCTTTTCTCTCAATATATTTTTCTGTCAGTTCAAAGGTAAGAAAAGCTACAGTGAGCTCCTGCTCCTGCCCATACCTTCACTCTTGTCCTGTTTCCCAAATGCTTTGATTAACAGTTAAGATAATTTTATATCGTGTACACTCACACACAATTAAATGTTTTCAGAAAATTCTGAAAGAAACTTAAAAATTTAGAAGCCTTATACTGAATTGCATTTCGATAGCTCTTCGAGTGTCAGCAACAAGCAGCAATGATTCTGCAGAGATGCACTCATGCCTAATGAAGGTATTTTCTTTACAAATCAAACATGCTCTTAATAAAATACAGAGTAGTATGAAATCTAGATCCACATCCTGCAAAGTCTATTCACTTTTGCCTTGCCTTTTGCCATCGAAACGTCTCCAGCTGTACCCAGAGCGTACGGGCCCTCTAACAATGTGGGAGAGCAGCCAACTTGGTCCTGGGATAAAACAGGAATCAGCTGTAGGAAATGAGCCAAAGAAGTGCAGTTCTCACATCAGGGACTTCAGTAGCTGTTACTCCATACAGAAACGCTTGGGCAGGGTTTAGAGCAGGTTTCTCTGCACAGAAGGCATTTTTCCTGAGATCCAAAGTTAACAAGGGCACTGATTTCCAGGAGGGACGTGGGGTTATTGTTTTGTTCAGCTGCTGCTTGCCTCTTTTCTTTGGTTTTCCCCTTAGTTTTGGTTTTAGTTTTTTAGTAAAGCCTTTATAACACATTACTGTGGAATTCTAATCCCATTTGTAGTGTTCTAGAACTGCACCATTTACTTCACATGATTGTGGGAAGAAAAATGGAGGAAATTTTTCTGCTGCATGGAGCCCTCAGGTTTCTTCCACTCCGATCCAGGGAATACCTTTTGCAATGTGGCTTTTTGAGCAATCCTGCCAGCTTTCAGCAATGTTAACACGTTAGTCACTCAAGTGTTGTGTAGAGTTTGTTTTCATTTGTCTCACCTCTGTCTCAGAAAAGAAATTATTTGAAATGCAGAAGCTTCAAAAGAGAAAAAAGCTGATTGCGCAATGCTGATTTGTTTAGTACAGAAACAGTGTCTATTTAATGATTACCAAAGTCTGTAGAGTTGAGTTACAGACTGCTTTTTTCTGGAAAACAAACTTCAAATAGCTTGTAGAAGTGGTGGTGTACTGCATTCTGTGATATAAAGGGACATTGAAGTCAAACAGCAGCAAGTTGTCCATGCAGAAATGCATCCCTTGTTTTCGTTCAAGCCCGCTGAGGTCCAGCTGTTCTGGTACTCGAGATGTCCAGGTCATTGCCCCTGGAAGTCACTGGATCAAACCCCCTGCTCAAAGCAAGACCAACTCGAAGTTTAGATCAGGTTGTTACGAGCCCTGTCCAGCTGCGTTTGAAAGTCTCCAAGGATGGGGATCATTCCACAAGTCCTCTGGGAACCTTGTTCCAGTATTCAAGCAGTAAATCAGGAAAAGCAGTATTTTAAAATACATTTGTGGGGCCTTCACTTTGCAGCAGTTCTTTTAACACTCCTGTTTCTAGTAATCACAGATTTTAAAAAGTTAGAACAAAAAATTCATGAGCAAAATCCTCAGCCATTTATTCTTACGAGCAGACTAAATCGTACTTTTAAGAGGTGCTTCTGACCACTGGAGTCTGTAAATCTGTGTGAGTGCGAGTGAGCATTTGGTTCCTTGCTTTCCCAGGGTATTATTTCTGTTCGTTCCTTGTAAGTAGTGTTTGTGTGTGTCAGAATAACAAGAAATCCCTTTTTCCTCTCTCTCACTATAGGCAAGTGTTTCCAAACGGACTTCCTGAAGAATACTCTCTAGTTGCTACGTTCCGTGTCCGGCGAAATACCAAGAAAGAGCGTTGGTATATATGGCAAGTTTTAAATCAGTATGACACACCTGAGGTTAGAGTTGGCTTTGATTGATTTTTTTCATTATATTTCTTTTTTTTTTCCCATATAAATATGGCAAATACAACGTAGTGGATGTTTCACCTCTGGATTTAGCTACAGTTTATATGGAACAGACAGCTCTGAAATAATTGATGATTTATCATAGGGATGACAGAAATTTAACACAATTCTTTAAGACTGCAAACGAGGATAAGAAGGAGTGTTATGGTTTGTAGCTGATATGTATTTACAAAGTTACACAGGAGAATGCTTCCTCACAGAATTCTTGCCCAATCTGTGTAGTCAAAGTATTTCTATTATATATAGTTTATATATGTGTTTAATTAATATACTCTAACTTTCAAATGACCACTTTTTGATTTTATTTTGCTTTCAGATCTCTGTCCTTCTGGATGGTACAAAAAAGGTGGTGGAGTATATCACCAAATCTGCTCAGGAGAATATCCTGCACTACACTTTTAAGAGCCGAGAAATTTATCCGTTGTTTGATCGGCAGTGGCATAAGCTTGGTATTAGCGTGCAGTCGGGGATCATTTCCCTCTATTTGGATTGTAATTTAATTGAGAGAAAGCAGACTGATGAAAAATTCACCATTGACTTGCAGGGAAGGACTCTGATTGCTTCTCGTGCTGCAGATGATAAGCCTGTAGATGTGAGTAGTATGACAGCGAACCCAGATAACTTGAAATCATGTATTAATCACAACTGTACTAACAACGTCCTAAAGAATCGCGTAGGTAAAAGGTTGAGAACTGGTTATTAATTTAGAGTGTATAGTCTTAATTTGAAATCCTTAAGTCCTTTTCTCTAAACAACGTTCAGTGCTGTAGCATTTCGCTAAGGCAAACCTTCTGTTACCAAAGTAACTACAAAAACTTGGTCCTGGTTTCGGGATTTTTCTGTATTAGCTTTCAAGTAAGAGCCACGTAGTTACCATAGACATATTAGACTCAGAGCTCTTATTTCATGGGGCCAAGCTCATGCTTCATTTGATTTTCTAAGGCTTTCAACTTTATTTGAAATGAATGTGTCTCCTCATTTCCAAGTGGCACACAGGAGAAGGAGCAGATGCTTTTTACCTTGTGTTGGTTGTGTGGCACGGGCTGGATAATTCTGGATGGAAGTTGTCAATCAGGATTGCCACATTTTGCAGGAAAACTTCGTGTTCCTAAAGCTGATGCAGGCAGCAGAGCAGATCCTGTACCAGCAGTCACTCTTCTCAATACCAAGTGCAAGGGAGAGAATAAGACGATGCAAAACGGATAGGTAAAGAGGCATCTAATTGTAACTCGCTGATCTTGCCCTTTACCAATCCACCTAAAATCTCTGAAACAGAGTTTTATGTACAGAATTTGTGATTTTTGCTTTACAGGAAATTTAGTGGCAAAGTCCAGGCAAAAGTCTGTCCAAAGTGGCAGACAATGTATGTGACAGCTTCTCAAGCCTTTACTCTGGTTCACTGCAGGAGAAAATTATGTTCCTGAAAAGGTTTGAAGAGGGTATCTGGAGGGCTAAAATGCCTATGTGGCATAGCAGGAGCAGTACAGAGGGATGTAACTTACATGAAGATAAATTAAATCAAAAATGTGATTAACGTCAAAGTAATACACTGCGTAATTTGCTCCTGAAGTGAGGAGCTGTGTAATTGTTTTGGATTTGTGTCTTCTTCCTGCATGTCAGAAATGTGCAGTGTTTCAGTGAGAAAGTTTGTTATGCCAAGATAAGAAAATGCATGCTGCAACCCATGATTTTGTATGTCTCATGTTAACCTTTTCTCTATTTCTTAATAGATTGAACTTCAGCGCATAGCAGTTTATTGTAGTCCAGAACTCGCATCAGAAGATACCTGTTGTGAAATATCTGCAGACCTGGTAAATTATTTCTTAAAATGCAAATGTTCATACAAAAGAAATTATGTAATTTTTTCTTAATTAATAATTGTAAAGAAATTTCAGTAGAGGTGTTAAATTACCTCCTAAAAATGAATCCTGTGTCTGCAGTCACAGTACGTTGTTTCGTGCTGCCTGACTGAATAACACGGTGGAACTTCAGTAAAAGGCACTAGGTGCTGCTAGTGCTTTTGAAATGCATTTCTTAACATTGATTAATATCTAATTAGTCACTGAGGAAGTCTGGGAGTAGGAAACAACTCACTGTGATAACAGAAGCCATCTTAATAACAGTTGTATCTAGTGGAGCATTACAGATGATAAATAAAACCCGTGAAAGAGTCCGCGTGACGGTGGAAAGGAAGAAAAATAGGAAGGTGTTGAGAGTTTCCCTTATTTCAGTACACCAAAATGGAGGGATTGATGTTTCATAGTTGGCAAATACTTTCTTCTTTATAATGCACATGTTGAAATGTGTATATTGGTTAACATAAGGGGAAATACTGACTTAGTTTACAGGGTTCACTTTTCCCTTTTGTTTTGATGGACAGAATCAGTGTAAACTGGAAGGCACTAGAAGTATAGAAATGCTTGAAGCTGAGGATGTGGTTGTTTTGCTGAATGAAACCCACGTGGAGAAAACAACAAAATAAAGAAAAAACTAAAACCTCAGAAAGATAATATGTTACAATATTGGACTGCTGGTTTTGAATATTCTGTAAGATCTTCTCTGAGGTAGTGGGCAGCACCATCACCACCCTGCCTGCAGTCACCAAAAAATCAGTGTGCAGAAAGGAATAATTGATTCCAGATACAGAGAGTTGGGAAAAAAGAGCACCTGGGGTGCAGGGATAAAGCTGCCCAAGAACAGAGGAGCAGAAGACTTTATGGGAACTGACATTTAATAGGTTCTCAGAACCATGGAGGAGGCTGGATCTAATTTAGCAGGGGAAATTTCAATTTTAAATAGTAATTTGTTGTTCACATATATCTAAAAATCTATTCCTGCTAATAGTGCAGGCTTTCTCCTGGGTGTAGAAACACATGGATAAGTGGAATGGATGAATTTCTTTTCTGTAGCTTCCACTTTGTGCATGGAAATGCAATTTGTTTAGCAGTTATGACACAGTAGCAAAAATACAAAGCCAAAACAAACCCTAATTATAAATGAACACAAAAAGGTCAAGGATAGGCTTTATTAATAGCATCTGAAACATTCATTCAGCTACACAGCTAAAAGCACCATGTTGTGTGTTGAAGACGTAAAAAATGGTGGACTACTTGTTCATAAATCTGAAACCAGCATTTCATTTTCTGATTTATTTTTCCATTATTTCCTCACCATTTATAAGGACTACATTATCAGTAATTTAAGGGAAGGAATTGATCCTTGGAAACAAATTTCTACAGTAAGCTGTAAATCCCGTCAGAATTTCTTTGACAGGAGGCTCACAGGAGACCTCAGTAGATCTCAATGAGGGCTTCTGAAACATATCAGATTCTGTTGGCTTGTCCTCTGATACATCCTCAGGTTGGCTCAGCTCTCCTGAGTCACACACAGGTGAATGCTGGCTTCAGGGCAGTATTTTGTTCGATTCCAAACTGTGCATGCCCAAAATACTTCATTACCAAAAAAAGAGTCAGAATTTTCCCCTCACATTCACTCCAACAGTTTGTGTTTTGGGACAGAGGGTGGAAGACAGGATGGGACTGAGAAATGCCCTCTGTTTTTCTTCTCTGTGGGCATTTGCTGCTTCACTACTTCTAATTCTGAGAGACTTCATTCCTCTGTCTGGGTTCTTTTGGAAGAAAGAAGTGGGACGGTCAGATCGGTTTTCACGGGCATTTATTTCAGTAGAAAAGGATCACAATATTTAGACTTCATTTAACTGCAGCTTTTTCCTCTGTTTGGCAGTTGTTGTGGCTTCTCTGTAATACGGTTTGTACCAGAGTATTAAAACAGAAATTAACTCAAAAATAGTGTTTGGATGGAGTTTATCTATTAACCAAAGTAGACCAAAAATCAGAAAATCTTCTTATTTTAGTGCCCACGTGAGGAGACCTTACTGGCTACAACTGCATCACCAGTGACCGTTCGTGCCAGCAAAATATACACACGGCCAGGAATGCAGCAAGAATCCAGAGAGAGATGCCACTGCTTTCCAAACAAAGTACGCGGTTTTCCTATTGCTTCTTAGTGCATCCTACTGTTTAATCCTGCTAGGAATTTAAAAACAGGTTGATTTTTCTTTTTTTCATAGTTATGAAAAATTTCGTACTGGTTTGTATTGTTGTAACATGCTTACCTTGTATTTCCAAGTTAAGAATACGTTTTAGATGTAGTTAATTTGAATTAGGGTTGGAGAGGTCCAGAAGGTTTGGTTGGTTGAACACACCCCCAAAAAAAAATCCATGTGAAAATGAGAATTATATTTAGGCATTGTATTTAGTGTGAATTTTATTTGTTAAAAGTAAATTATTTTCTACGTAATACTTTTTTTTTAATCCATCTCCTGAGTGTTGGGCTATATTTATTCGGAGTCATTTGCTTTGTTAGGCTTTTGCCATAAAGACAAGGAAACCAAACCAAACACACATTTGGGATCTGCTTCTTTGTTGATTTTTGTTTTCTTTTAAAATCAGGGCGAAGCAGGATTGCCAGGAGTAGCTGGGTTGCCAGGCCAAAAAGGAGATAAAGGAGAAAAGGTAAAACATCAACTGAATTCTCTTTCAAATCTTTCTCTTTGGCTTGTCTTTCTTAAATAGAAACTTCATGGATTTCCTTAGTTTCTATGGCCCAGCTGAACCTAGAGGGATTGCTGGGGGTTTCCACATTTAATCACGAATTTTGGCTGATCCTGGGTCTGAGTATACAGAACAATTCTGTGTTAGGGTTAGCCTACGTTACCAACATAGGGAGTTTCCTAGCATTTCTTTGGGAAACTGCTCTTCTGCTTCTGATATCACACACACAGAATCGCTGGGTTGGAAAA